AAAGTTCTTGCTCTTCTTCCTGTATGATAACTTGGTTCTCTATTGTATTAGCAGTACTTTAAGTGCTTGTGTTGACAGCAAACAAAAACCTAGTATTTTTTTTTTTACCAAGGTAGAAAATGGAGATTCCAAACAAAGTAGACCCTTGAGGAACACCACCACTGGTAATGTTTTCTCCATCCCAATAATTTGCTATGAGATGCGATACTCGTGTGTTAACCAAGAAATTTCATTAAAGAAAGATAAGCCAGTATAGCATGATTTACACTTGGAAAGATCTGGGTTGTATTTTCATTATGCTTTCTATTTATGTTCCAGTTGTTGGTTACTCTTGCTTGCTCTTTCCCCTTAGAACAGTTGTTACAAGATGCTGAAGAGCACTGAGTTCACATTAACAGCGCTTTTTTGAACACAGGTTGAACACTTCTCCAACCATAGGCTGCTATCCCAGAAAATGTCTTATTCGTTGAGAATCTTTGTGCCAGAGCTTGCAATTTTGATATATAACCTATTTTTTCAGTATTCTGGGATGGAAATTTTTTAAGCCGCCTCAATTCATTTTAGTAATGGATGTGGTAATTTTCAGTACTTTGTCCTTGTTCCCATGAGGTATTCTGTCTCTGTCCTCATACACAGCATTATTCTTACAGGAAAAAATGATGCAAAAAGCTAATTTAATATTTGGTCTGTGATCCTAATTTCTACCCCTTGTTGACACCAGTTCTTCATTCCTTGGTCTTTATTTCATGTTAGGAAACCATTTGTTTGTCTGTGAGTTCCCGTTTTCCTGGCCTCCTGGCAGTTTTCATTTAACATCTGCAGCCTGACCTCTTAAGTGCCAGCTCCCTTTGCTGATCGGTCCCTTTTTCCATTCCTTGTAGGTTCTCTGCTTTTTCTTAATAACCTGCTTTGAGGTGCATTCTCATGCAGGTAGGTCTGTAGCTCTTTCCTGTCCCCTTTTTTCCTTTCCTTGGATGGAAAGACTGAGATAGCATTTGATTTAAAGTAACTCCATGCCTTCCATACACTCAGATCCAATTGTGTATGTGTTTCATATATCTTTGGATGAAATTTTGGGTTATGGCCCAACAGGGAAAGGTGGGATTGCTCTTGAAATGTAAAGAAAACTGTTAGTTATTTTTGAGTTATGCAGCTGGTGAGGCCTGTACCCCCAGAAGGTTAGGGAAGTTTGAATTGCCTTTGGCAATTATTATATGTTGTATAGGCTACTTAATTCCAGATGGTTTTTTTCCTTCATGTAAAACCATGGGAATTAATTTTAAAAACTGGCATTTAAACCACCTGAATCAGAAATAGATTGCATCAGAATCTGTTGCTAAGTATGTTTATACAAAGACAATCAGTTTTGTTAGAAGGTCGGTAATTTTGGAAATTTCCTGAAATTCTTTCAAGGTTTCACTTTTTTAAAAACAAAACAAAAAACAAACAAACAAACAAAAAAGTATGCCGATGTTTCATTTCTCTTTGTGTTGAGAGACAAATGTATTTGGCAGTTTTTCTTTTGCAAACCCAAACACACATGATGACAGTTCACTTGTCCTTTCTCCAGGTGCTTGAGAAAGCTATTCCCATGAATGCAAAGGCTGCTTTTTGGAGCCACAGTAATCACTTCTAAAGCTTCGTACTGTCAAAAAATAAAAAGGATTAGTTAGTTACTCAATCGCTGGCAGTTTTAGAATACAGTCTGAAGTATTTATGTGTACATCTGTGTAGCTGAAGCTGCCTTCAGAAGGCTGTAGGCAGGACTCTGGGTATAAGCCTGCGTTTAAGTTTCTGTGAAGTAAGGTAGTGTGTGGATTTACAGTCTGTCAGCCATTGCATGTGTGCTATGCCACGAACACATTTGTACCATATGGCCACGCCACAGAATCGCCCAGCTATATGTGAAGGCAGTAATCCGTGCAGATGGACACGGCTGAAACACTTGCATCCAAGAACTGGCAGTGAACTTCATGTTTGGACTGGGTCTTTCTGAGTTAGAGGTTTAGCAAAGCTACTGAGGATTTTTTTCTTTTTTTTTTCTGGCTCCTGGTATCAAAATGGTGCTCAGTGCTTTGCAATGTTGATTTTGATAGTGTTAATCCTAGAGCTAACATAAATCTTAAATTATACATTTATGAATTTCATTTAAATGTAATTGGAACTCCTCGACGTGGTTTAGTGGTGATGTACAATGCTTGCCTCTCTCTTATCCTTGGGGGCAGGGGCAGAATCTCTGAATAAAAGTCCATTCTTGGTCAGTTCTTTTTATTTGGGATTAGCTATTTTCTTCTATGTGTCTGCCTGAAATTTCCCAAGTCCACCTCTTGTATGTGTCTTAGTGCTTGATGAGGTGTTAGGAAGGGACATATTTTAAGTTTTTCACTGTGTTTGTTAGCCAAGGCATCCTTCAGTATTTATGTTGCAAGATTTTTAAAGCATGGCTAATACTACTTAGTAACTAAAAGCTTGAAAAACTTATTAAAGGACTGGCTATATTTTGTGTTATTCCTCTTTATTTTCCTTTGCTTTAATGAGATTGAAACTAATTTAGTGTCATGAGTAAATGCCTGAGCACATTCTTCAAAATGAGGTTTCACACTATGGTAGGGAGTCTGGGGCTTATATCTTTAATCTGATGGCACTTTGTTTAGTTTTTAACTTCATCATGGGTCAGTGGGTGTTTCTGTAACATATGGCACTGTATGTTGAAAGTGGATGTTTACATCTGGTATGCATTGGAAGATTAAGGTAGAGAGGATGAAGTTTTGGGCAAGTATGTGTTTTTTCGGATGAAGGATAAAGTGAGAATACTTTTATTTCCTCTTAGATTTGAAACATATCATTCTAGCAATGCCTTTGAAACTGTGCCAGCTTTGCCAACCGTAACATTTATGGGATTTTGGACCTAAACTGAATTAGAAAACTGTTTTTAGTGGCAGAGAAAAAGGTTAGTGCATGAAAATAGCGAGGCCTATTATTGACTGCATGTGGTCAGTGGTTTGGCTGAATGTAGGTGGATCTTTTCCTGTCACTGTTTTCAAGCATATGGCTTTGTTTGTGATGAATATAAAACTCTTTAAAAATGAGCTCTACTGCAGTTCTTTTGCACAGTAGTCTTTTGCTATTTAGTGGTGATTATTTTGCTTTTGCCATTCATTTTCAATCTTGTAGTAAGAGAAAAACCTTTTAAAATAAAGCTCATGATCCCTGTTGACATCAAAACTTAAGAGGTTTGAAGAATGTGGTCATCTGTGTATAGCAGCTACTTCTGTCAGTAATCTTTTCTAAAACGATGCATATACTATGTTGTTGATTCTTTATTGTAGTTAATGCTGGGATTGCGTGCAGTGGGCAGAAACTCCTTTTAAATGTCCACACTCATTTTGTTTAATTAGTACTTCTGTGAAAATCTCTAATACCGAATTATAACTTCCCTTTTTTTTTTCTTGTTTTCAGTCTTAGTAATATTTATAGCAGTTTTTCCCAAGGTCAGCTTCAGATTTGCCATTTCTTTTTCCCATTCTGTAGAAGACAGCCTGAAAATAACCTGGTGTTTTGTTTTCTTCTTTGGGTGTAGTATACAAGGTGCTACCTCAGAGCTCGGGGAATAGTGAATTTTCTAGCTTCTGCTGCAGAGAGCTTAAGGGCACAACAGGTTCCGTTCAGCTTTAACTTAAACAGTGTTACCCTATTTATATCTTTTTAAAAAAATCTGGGTGATAGAGCTGTAAATTGAGCAGATTGTGGATTGTGTAGATTGTCTGGTGTTTTCAGTGTAGAAATTCTAGTGAATCTTGTTTTAGCAGCTATCAGGTGCAAAAGCTGGTTTCATTCAGCCAAGAGCTAAGTACATTTGGTTCTGCAAGATGCTGAGAACTGCAGCAAGAATTAGGGGCACCAAGCACTTCATGACTTCGTTCCATTGCTGTAAAGTATTTAAAGCCAAAGCAAAACTGTTTACAGTTTCCCTATGTTTGGGGAAAATAATATATAGAATTATGCAACTTTTAGAGTAACTGTAAAAGAATAACTAAATAAACAATGAGATAGCCTGTAGAGCTGCTTAGTTTATTTGTCAGTCAGTCCTTAGAAAGTGCATCCTGGTCCTACAGGCCAGACACAAGGAAAGTCACTCTGTTGCACAAATGAGGCTACTTGTGTGATTATGTCTTGCAGACTTTTAAGAACTTCATTTGTTACCTACCTAAAAAAAATATACAATACTATTTAAAACACAAAACGTACTTTTAAAATTGTTAAAACGTTAAAAAAGAAAATCTCTAGAAGCTGTAATTATTGCAACTGTAGGTTAGAACTTATTACAATATCTTTGTAAAAAGATAATAATAAATTAGAGATTTCTTAATAACCTGTAAGTTATCAAGAAGGTCTTTTGAATTGTATTACGAAGACAGAGCTGTTGTTCCTAAGCATGCTTGGTGACTGTCACTAAGCAAGAAGTGCTGTGCATGTATCTGTAAGTCTCATTGCAAGAGAATCTTAAGGTGGATATAAGCACTGCATCCTCGAATGTTTAAAAAAAAAAAAAAAAATAAATTTGAATTTGCATGAGTTTGGGGTCGTGCAAAACACCCTCAACAGCAGGCTATGTAATGTGTTTTGGTTTGGGTTTTTGGTTTTTAGGTATTTTTTTTTTCTAGTTCTGATTTAGGACCGGGAAACTGCTTGATATTTTTGACAGCAGTAATTGTCATAATTCAGTAATGCTCTATCTTGAGAGATCTCATATTTAAACATACTGCCTAACTGATAGCTGTTCCTCATCAAAAAGATTTGAAATATGAAGTGGATGGAGATTAGTTCACTTCATTAGTATCAGTTCTGAACATGGATTGATAGAACAGCATTTTAAGAGGAAAACCAGCACAGCTAACCAAGGATCTTTTGTTTTCGATTTATGTGCGACATTTTTTTGTGGTCTTGTTTGTGAAAATTGTTATGTTAATAATTTTCGATGCCTCCTGTTTGGATTGCAGAGGTTGGAGACCTGAGGGAGCTGCAAACGCTGGACATCTCAACCAATCGTTTGATAACGTTACCTGAAAGGCTGCATATGTGCCTTTCGCTGCAGTACTTGACTGCAGACCGAAACCACCTGTGGTACGTTCCCCGCCACCTGTGCCAGCTACCAAGCCTCAATGAGCTCTCCATGGCTGGAAACCGCCTGGCATTTTTGCCACTTGGTGAGTCACTGCTGTCATTGGGCTTGGGGGGTGGGTCAGAGAAGACACAGGAAAACAAACTTTCCATCCCCAAAAGAAAAAAAAAATAGAAGGCAACAAGTGATTTTCTTTGGTGGTCCCTACAAACTCTGTTTATGGAGTTGCCACACAGTGATCATATTGTTGGAAAATACGTTAATTTTTAAAAATGCAGGTTAAGGTTTCGTGTCTGTTTTAAAGCAATAGGTCAGCGATCAAATTTGCTTTATTTTTAGCTAACTGAGAGGGGAAAAAAGTTTAAATGCTGTTGTGTTTAAATATAGTACTATGTAATCTGAGTTCCACCACTTTGGGTAATGATCTGTTTCTGTTTGCTGGATCTGATGATTTCACTAATTCTTCAGCTAGAGTTTAAAACTTGCTGTGGAATCCCAGTAACTCCACAGAAATTATTTTTCATCGTTAGGAATGTCAGTATTGTATAATCTAGTGAAGGTTTAGTTTGTGCTGTGTATAGGAAACTTTTCACGGTATCAGCACAGGAAAAAATTTATCTGCCTTTCTCTCAACCCTTACGAAGTTTGGAAGTGTCGAAGCAGGTCTTCAAGAGTAGGAGGTGCAGTCAGTGTGTGGTGGTTTGTTGTGGGAAGTAGTTGTGTTGCCAGTAACTGTGGACTGTACATTCTGTTTGTGAATGTTGTATGTGAAAAGTCCTCTTCCACATGTGTGTTACTTTTTAGCCCTGCCACGGGCTAATCTCTGCTGAAATACAGACACGCATGCAGATCTGTCACGTCATTCGAATAGCCGTTAGTAGTTTTTCTGGAAGACAATTGGAGTTTGGTGTTAATTAGGTGCAGATGAAGTCATGATAATCACATTGAAAAGAAGCTGAAAATTGACGTAGCTAAAAATGAGATAGATTATAATTTCTGAATTACATCGTATAGGTTTAACTTAATTTTTTCAGTACTAGCAATTTAGTCTTTGAAGAAGCTTATGATCTTTCTGATTTTCTGAGCACCTTAGCTTATATTACTGGAAAGTAAGTGCAAATAATGCCTCCAGACGTCATGTTTTAGTTATGTTCCCACATATGTCATTATATAAAAGAGAAAACGAGTTCCAGGATACATCATCCAGATTCCACAGTACTAACTAAAACAAGCAGAGTAGCTTCCCCTATTTTGGCAAATATTTTTAACTCCATTTGATGAGACAGGAAGTTGGATCTTTTTAATTTTGCAGAAATAAGATTATGTTCAGTAAAATGAGATATGAAATATTAAAGGGTAAAAGTTTTTGCTACTTTTGCGCTAGTAGCTTATCTGTGAGTGAGCCGTGACCTGGATGAGCCATAGATCTGCTGAAGTGTTTTAAGTTCAAAAGGAGGAAATAAATCTCTAATATAATGACACACCTTCTTTTTTTCTTTATTTTTAGACTCAAATTCAAAACATTCAAAAGGAACTTTTAAAATAACGGGAAACATCAAAGACTGTCAATTGACCTTGTTCAGTAGTTCTTAATAGTAACTCACTGGTGAACATTTGGAGATAATTTGCTATCTGTGGATATGAAACTGAATCATAAATCCTAGAGTTCAGAGGAAAAGCAGCACAGTATAAATGTAAATGTTTAATCCTTCCTCTGAAGAATCAGGCTTCAGAGTGGTCAAGATGTGATGAAATAAAGTAGAAGAAAGAGTTAGTGCATTGAAAAGCAAAAAGATTAGATCTATCTTCTGTTGTATGGGAAAATATTTTTCTTGGAGTATTACTGAAGTTAAGGCATAATTGTAGCATTATTTCCACTAACGGCGCATGTTGGCTAATGGGTTTTTTTTGCGTGTATTCTTACATGCAACTTCACTTTACTAGTTAATGACTGAGTAAGGATGTTAAATAACAATGAAATTGTTATTGAATAACAATGTAGAAATACCTACAAGTGATACTCAAGCAAGAATTGTCAAACCATTTCTTTCAATTAGGGAGTTGAGTTAGAAAGCAGACACTTTATTTGTCTCCTGACAGAATATTGTTTGTTTTCTTTTTTTTTTTTAGACATGTCCATGTTAGAGGAAATATCTTTGGAAAATATTGCTTAATGCTTTTTAAAGTGTGATTTCCTTTATTTCATACGGTGGTTGACATCTTCTATGGCAAGGAATCCCTTCTTCCTCGTCTTAAGTATGTCTCTTGTAGCTGCCAGTAGAGCCTCCTGTTGAGTGTAATGGAAATCTGCATTTTTCTTTTTTCCCCCTGTTCCTAGATTGATAGGTATAAGATTTATCCAGCAGTACCACAGTATTTTCACAGCACCGCTGGATAGGTACTATGCAGTTTTTTGTCCTGTACGTTCTTCAAAGTTTGTGGGCACATGTGTGTTAAGAAAAAAAAGTAGAACACTATTAATCAATCTTACAAAATACAATAAAAATACCTGATGCCACTCTCCGACTTTCAGAACTGGTACATAAACAAGCAGATGGGTAAACAATAATGAATTAGTCATTTGTTCTGCAAAATACAATTAACTCTTAGACATGCCAGTATTTAAAAAAAAAAAACAAAACTATTTTTCAGCTATTGAATATTATATTTATATTCAAAGAAACAAGACTGTGTGGATCTGAGCCTTTGGGCTTCCTAATAATTCAGTTTAAAAAAACCCAAACAAACAACAAACAAATTGTGTGTGTAAGTTGAACTGGAAACTGCATTCTGGACAGCCCTGTTATTGTCAGGGTACCTTTTTCATGCTGCCCTAAGAAATGGTCTTAAGAATTCTGTTCTTGAATGGCAGTTGGAACTACTGATCATTTTATATCAATCTACTTACAATGTAAATTATCCTATGATAGAATTTTAACTTTAAATTTTACCGTTAGCAAATGCTCCAATGCCTGAAAACAAATTCCATTGCAAGCAGAAATTTGAATCTGATGACATTGCAAAAATAAAAATGATTTATGTAGTAAAGTACAAATATAATTAAAATAGGCCATAAATTCTCAAGTCTACTGGCAGTACAGATGATGTTATGACAGCAAATATTCAGTGTTATATCACTTTATTGAGGGTTTATGTGCACTTTTTGTTTAGAAAATGGGTCTAGTAATTATCAGTGCACAGTAAACAAAGGTCTTATTCTACCTCGGTATATGCTGCTTTTGTGTCCTTGCCCTCACAGTATGGTTAAAAGAGCATCAGCGCAGACACACAAGAGCTTTTGTTCCATCTTCCACCATGTGGAATGCATATGCCAGGGCCCTGAGGTTAAATGAGAAAAAAAAAAAAAAAAAAAAGAAGGAAGAAAAAAAAAAAGGGAAGAAAAAGGAAAAAAAAAAAAATTAGAATTGGGGTTTGTTCAGGACTCATGGCATTTGGTCATTTCTGGGAGAAAGGTCTTTGATCTGGAAGCCTGGAATAAGGAAAGTGGAAATGTTTTAGACACAGTACAGTGCTTGCAAAAGCCACATGAAAACCCTCTTTGTAGCTTTAGCCTTTTCATAGATGGACAGCTTCCTTATTTTACAAAGTTCTTCAGAAGCGTGTTTTTTAGAGAATTTTTAACAATATTTGTTGACTGATATAAGACATAAAAATTAATGTGGATAGGATACAAAGAGCTTTTTAAAGTGATGATTTATTTAAATTTAAACTTTATGGATAGTGTTTGAAACTGGAAAAAATCTTCTGGGAACTAGAAGATGCTTGGTTATTTAATGCAAAGAAACTATATCAAAGGAACATTTATAGTTACAGGCTATTTGGCTTTGGGAATTGAATTTTTCCTACTGAGATATTTTGTCTAACATCCAAAAATTTGCTTTAATTACCTAGGAAATGCAGTCAACTCAGAACTTAGAATCTAAACATAGCATAAGATAAAGACGGAGGGAAGAGATGAGATGCAGCCTAACTCCCCCCTCAATGCATATGAAAAGAACAGCTTTAGGGCTTTTTTTGACTTGCCTGATTTTCAGTCCATTTGCATACATCTGTGTAGAAATGAGCAAGATGAGCCTCTTTTAAAAATTTTCTTCCATTCTCTAAATTAATAAGTTAAACAGTAGCACATTCAAGCTACCCCAGCAACCCATAGTTTTCTGCTCTTAGTATAATTGGCTTCTGCAACATGAGGCGATATTCTCTCAGCATTAGGTGTGCCATGCACATGCTATCTGCTTTAAATTTTATTGGCTGGTTCTTTTCCAGCCTTACATTATTTTATGGTGTTATAGTGCCTCAGTATTGCGATTTTTTTTTTTTTTTTTTTTTTTTTTTAAATTCATTGTAGGATAACAGTTTTTTTGTTTCATCTAAAAATACCCCAGAACTTTACTAAACTATTTTCAGCCCTGCAATACTGAGCCAAAATAAATCATCTTTTTGAGGTGTTAGCTCATAACGATGCACAGCAGCATCTCACAGCAGTGCCCATCAGTCAGCAGAGATATTTGTATTTGCTTCTTGGGGCAGGACAGTTGATGGGTGCAGCAGATAGCTCTGCCAACTAGAATGTCTTTGGGACAGGGGGTCCAAGAAGCATGTGATGGTTGAACATCTCCCCCTGATGCCCAGTGACTCTGGTTTGAACAAAGACCAGATTTTGGTCCATGAAACCTCCACAGACTGGTGCAGGGCAAGGGCATGTATTAAAAGAAAAAACCCCAAACTCAGTTTTTCTATGTTAACATTTTTATTTCAGAAAGTGAATCTATTAGTTTTCTGTTGATATCATGACTTGTTCTGTATATCAAAGGTTTGATAATGTGGCACCCACTGAAGCTCCTCCCCAGCGTGAGCTTTTAAGGTTTGTGGTGCTTACAGCTGCCATTCAAGTGGGTGACAGATGAAGACAATCAGTATCTTTTAAGATGGCCAAACGTTTCAGGGGGGATCACTCAAAATATTGTTTGCTTTTTGTGTCCAGACCTTTCCGTACAATAAAACTATTATTATTGAATAATAAAGGGATTGTATTGCCTATTGACATAGTAGGGAATGATAAGAGATCCTTATTCCAAATAGAAACTCTGAATAAAAGTATCATGGAAGTAGTTTTAATTTTTATTCTGTTCTTGGCCATGATTACAAAAGGGACAGAAGCTATGCTAATTTCTTTGGTTATCCTTATTTTTATGCCAGCCAAGTTAACTGACAATTGATAAAGATGGGAAGTCAGAATTAGTCGATATTAGTACCGCCTTGTAACGTGGCTGATTCAGCCAAATGCTTGTTTATCTTGCTTAGTGTCTATAACATACTCATAAAAGTTTAAGAAGTTGAGAGGCATACAGATTTTTTTTTTTTTCCCATAATGGAGTTTGTCTGGGTTGCAGCTATCCCCTTGCAGGCAAAGAGGCTTTTAAACATTGTTTGCTTGGTTTGTACTTTGTATTAAAAGCGTATGTCTTTCTTTAACCCAGTATCTTGAACGGCATAGGAGCTACAGATGAAATGGGCTGCCCAGAAGATCCTACATGTTGGCTTTCTTGCCAGTTCAAAACTCTTTTAGAATGTCCTTTTTAGTTCACTGTTTGGTTTGTCTTTTTAAATGTCTCACATTAGCATGTTTTTAATTTCTTTTGATAGCAGATAGTTTTACGACTGACTAGATTTTGCTGCTAAGCACAATTCTTGTTTCTGAGAACTTTTCTTAGAAGCCTAAATTTTCCCTTTTAATTTTGGCCTGTTTTCTCACTTTAATTTTCTAAACAAAATAAAATTATTCCATACGTATATGCTCTTATCTGAAGTATGTTAATATATTTCTGGTCTGTGAAAGTACTCCTTAAATTTGCTGTACTTGATTTTTTTGACTGCCAGCCATTAATTATTTAACAGAAATAATCTAAGCAGCACACCTTTGGATGTATTGATCACTTACTTGTAGCCATAACTTTTGTTGTATAATATTCTGCAGTTTAATGCTTGTATATTTTCTTGTGTTCTGTCATTTACCACATCACACAGATTTGTTTCTGAATGATTACTGTTTGTATTTAGTTATGGCTAATGTAACCAAACAAGTATCTCTTCTTGGAGAAAAGAAAGAGTGGGGCAGACCACATTTTTGTTTATGTCTTTACCACCTTACCAAACATAGTGAAGCTATGATTTCAGTGACAATAGGCCAGTTAATGAAAACAGGTTTGACCTTATGAACTTGAAGTGTGCACTGTAGATCTGAAATCAGTTGTCCCTTTGCTTCTTCAAACTGACTTCAGAGTTTGTCAATGTTAACATTTATATTATTTATAATGGGATTTTCAGGGCTACTGAAAACAGGTTTTGCTTTGGTTTAGTAATTTTAAATGCTATTTTCTAAATGGCTTTTCAGCTCATCCATAATAAAAAAATTGGCTGAAATTTTACAGCTGAGAAGTACTAATTTATGTTTGCTTACATTGAGTCCGATTAGCTTATTTATAATTAAAGAGAATTGCTTTGCTTATAAATGTCATTATGTCATCCCATCTCCCTCTGACTCTTTTCTTGTTTTCTAAACCCAGATTTAGGTCGTTCTCGGGAGCTACAATATGTTTATGTGGATAACAATATTCATCTGAAAGGCCTCCCATCTTATCTGTATAATAAAGTCATTGGTTGCAGTGGGTAGGTATGAATTAATTCAGATGTCTTGCATACCTGTTCCTTGTAAAACTTCTCATAAATATCTGCCTCTACGATACAAAGGACTTCTTTTTTTGGTGTGTGGTTGATTCAGAACTAATGTTATTTTGAGGGGATTACTGCAGTTTCCAGTTCTGTTTCATTTTTGTAATAAATCTTCTGTGTTAATTGTGACTTTCAGTATTTTAGTATTAAGCCGTAACAGACAGTGCAGTTACTCTGCAGGAATTTTTAACGATAATGTAAGGCCTAAAGCTGAATCCTAGCTGCATTTAAAGGTTGGCCAAAAATGTAGGCTTCACAGAATTTCCAGAACTAAAGAATGAACAAAATGTTTTTCAATGTGTTGCAGCATCTATCTAGTTCTTAAGTTCTCACATTTCTGTAAGTTATGGGCTGTATCTTGGAATGTCACATGCAGCTCCTTAACTCATTTTACATGCCAGTATCAGCTTCTTGTAGGTCTTGGTACCTACTAGCTAAAGTAAGTAACTTTTTTTTAGGAATTATGGATTGACAGGTATATTTTTACATGTGCATTTTAAAAATATCCAAGGCTGTCTCATGTTTGTGGTTAGGATGTGAGGAAAAAAGTGGCCTGTCCTGGATAATGGCTTAATTCTTTCTGCACTGACACTAGCATAAACGAGGATCAGCACCACTGATGAATGGTGCCTTACTGGTGTGAAACTGATCAGAAGAGGATTGTCCCCATTACCATCTAATTATAAATTTCTGGTATGCTCGCTCTCAGCAAATCTGTGCATTAAATATAAATTCCCTCTCTACAGCCTGCACTCTACTGCAATAGACAAGATGCTGAGTCTTGGCATTTTAAGGTTTTTCTAATATTCCCGTGTCAGCTGGTTGTGTGATATTTAAATACTTGCAGTTGGATTATAATTCTGCTGAAATGCGTGCAGTCTCAAGCCTCTACTAATTTTGTGTTTCAAAAAAAATAATTTCTAGCCTTTGATGTTTCAGAACTGATTGTAAATTGTAAGACAGACATAAAATTGACCCTAAAGGTAATAGGACTGTATTGGCTGTGACCAAAAACACTAGTGGCAATGCAGGAAATGTTCCAGAAGTTTTGGTCCAAATGTCCTGTCTATTTCAGGTGATTTTTAAACAACCATATCTTTATGGTGTTGGGTTTTTTAACTTAAGTCCTTTTTTATACTCAGTCAAAATAACTTTATCTTTGCACTGGCCTTTTGTGAAGATACTACCTCTTTTTGCTGTCATTAAATGTACACTGCTGGTGAGGCTAGGTGCTAGTATCTCTGATGGAGAGTATTATAAATCTAGTATAGAAGAGACAAAAAAAATTGCAAGTGTTGCAATGGAATTAATTATTGTAATGCTTCTGTGGAATAAAAAAAGATTTTTTTTTCCTTAATAATAAAGAATTTTTAAAAATATTTCTGGTAAGCAAAATAATATTTGTATACCAAACAGATATTTGTCTTTATGTTGTGAAACCATCTTGAAACATCACAGATTATTTTTAAGGAAAATTTTCAACATAGGAAGAGCACTTATTCTGTAATAATTGTCATGTGAGGAATTTCTGTGTTCTTTCCAAGAAAGGATTAGTAACCAGTGCAAGGTTTGCATGGGTCAGGCGAGAGTTGAAGATCCAGGCTTTAGTGCTCTGTCTGGTCATCCACTGGAGAATAAAATCTGACATGCTGCTGTTACTAACATAAAGCTAGATTTCTGAAAATAGAATATAAATTGCATTGTGTAAGTAATGAATCTCTGTCTGGGAATCCTGCAGTCAGACTGACTGAAAAAGTCTTTTATGTAAGAGGTGATGATCTCAGCACTCAAAATAAATTTTGATCTTATTTTTTTGCAGATTGGATTTCATAGTCTCCAGCTAGATATCTGTCAGTCTTGTTGAAGGCAGCCAATAGGTGGTCACAGCTTTTTTCCCCCAGTTACTTATTCACCAGGGTTCTTCTGCAGCTCTGTGGTTTTTTGGTTTTTTTTTTTTTTTCCCAGCTAGTTAAACCATCCCCTGTTCCTTTTTTTTAACCTCTCATGGATTTTGTGTGGGGTATTAATTCTTTGTTCTTGCACCCACTATTACTCATAGGTTGAGATTCATTTCCCTCATCCATTCTGACTGAAGGGTGTATATCTCTTAGATTATTCCATTTGATGGTCTGTTTTGCTTTGTTTACTTTGTTTTTCAGTGTTGTGGTCAGGCATTAATAGCCTCACCCTTTACATGAAGTAGACCAAATGGCCCAGCTCTGAACTGCAGAAACTAGTGAGTTTATGGGTGTGTCTTCTAGCTAGGTTGGTAAGGGGTTAATCGGCTTCAAAATACAACATTTTAGATTTATTTGTTGTGACAGCTAATGCATTGGGTATGTATTGCTGGGGAATGGATTGTTGGAATACTGGATCTCTGAATTCCCAATTATATTTTAACCCCATTAATGGTGTGTGGGAAAGTATTAAATATTTAACAAGAGTCTTATTGACTTGCTGTTTGATGCTGCTCTTTTTTTGCTTGTTTCTCTGGGCTTTTTTTTCCTGTAATCAGGGGAGATGGAGTTCTTTGTTATCAGAGAAGTACTATGAGATTCCTTTCACATCTGATAGGGTCGAGTGTGGTTACCTCAGTTTTAGGTCCAATATCTGGGAAGTCTCGCAAATTTGTGTTTCTGTTCCATTTGTTAGGACTGGCCCTAACAAGTTGCTCTTGGCTTCAAATTTAAGTTGTCATAAACAATTCCAATTACCCTCTTGACTTCCCCAACCTCTTAGTAGAATTTTCCTGTGTGTGTCTCTTTGGTATGATAGCTTGCAACGGGGATCATGTAAAGAGTTATTATTTTTACTACAAGCTAAGTTTCTCTCTTGGGATCCAAATAACCTTCCTTTTCCTTGTATGATTTGGGAAGGACAAGGCTAGTAGACAGCTTATGCTGTTCTTTCACTCACCCCCCCCTACACCCTCAAGGGAGCTCTGTGGATGGGGAAAGGTATAGTACAGAATCACCCAGTGGCACTTAAATGATCTTTTTTGGTGGTTGTAGTTTGCCTTGCATATTATAGTTGAGAAATCCATTACCATTCTCAGCTAGTTGATCCAAGACATGGGAAGCCAACTGTTAGGTATGAAACTGCTCCCCTGTGTAAAAATATTTAGTCATAATGGTATTCAGAGGCTAACAGAGATTAGTGTGTTGGCAAAGTAAGGGACATGTAGTGCACTTGGTTCACCTCCTTGGGACTGTGTTCTCATTTCTCCAGGTTTTGTATGTTATTTGCTAAGAAAAGACTTCCAGATATCCCATGACTAGCATATCGCAGAACGTGGGCATCTGTGGAAAATGTGTGTCAACATGTATTGCACTCTGCAAGGAATCCTTAAAGGGTGCTGCACTGAAGAACGGTATCGGGCATACTGTGGGTTGGTCATCTGGATTTCCCCATAAAGTTACTTTTTATTATTTTTGTTCTAACCAGTTTCTAAATGTCTTCTGCCCTTCTAGGTGTGGTTCTCCAATTCAAGTTTCGGAGGTGAAACTGCTCTCTTTTTCATCGGGCCAGTTAACTGTGTTCCTGCCAGCAGAGGTGAAATCTATAGGGACCGAAACAGATCATGTGCTGCCTTTGCAAGAACTGGCCATGAGGACCCTCTATAACACCTACTGCAGGTTTTTAAAAGGTATGAAATATCTGCATTCTTCAGATTACAGGAAGAGTAAGAAGTGCTTTCCTGGCAGTAATAGGAACATTTCAAATAGCTCTTCGAAGACCTGTTTGGGGTTTAATATTTGGATTAATATTTTAAAAGATTTATTTAATCAAATTATGTTTGAAATGCTGTAGTAGAACAAAAATGTCCAATATCAAAAAAGAGATCCAAAGACTATTTCTAAGGTCGAGTGGTGCTTACAAATGGTTCCTTTCTTAAGGACTGTATAAAGAAGGACGCTTTCTGCAGGAGAAACTCTTTAATGAAAAGAGGAGATGAGAAATACAGGTCCTGAGGCAAGATTAGATGCATCAGCCAACAATGCAACTTATTGCCAGGCAGTACACTCCTAAACTGGCAGACTTGTTATACATAAGGCAAAAGAAATGCTAGCAGCCCTTGGCCATTTCAGTACAGCGTGACAGCTGAGCTGTTTTAGTTCTGCCCCAGTTCAGACTCTTTGCTGTAAAGTGGCCTTTGGCTCATCTGGCTATGTGTCATGCAATCACATGAGTTAGCAATATCTGATGATAACCTGCAGATTCAGGGTTGGGGTTTTTTTTGTCAGATTTAGATGTATTGTGACTCCCTCTATTCACAGCATCTTGAGAATTAGTCAGCTTTAGAGGTGAATGTAGAAAGCAGAAGGGTTACAATGAGAGTTACGGTGGAAAGGTTAGAGGGTTTATGAGAAGGTGTCACTTGTACCATGGCCACTGGAGCAAATCATCACTGCTACACTATTGCTTTGCAAATATGCTGTAGGGAAGAAGCTTCATGTTGAGGGGTGGAATAACCATACAGGCCTGTTCATAAGAAACAGCACTGCTGTGTGGAGAATGTATTTACTGACATAGAGAACATACTAATTGATCAGTTTGCGGTTATATACTGCTTACATTTCTGCATACGGAGGGGAGAGGGGAAGTTTTTAGAGTTTTTAGTTGTTTAGTATCAGGATATCAGCTGTATCAAAATTACACAATGATGCATGCTGTTTCATTTTGATTTGCAAAATTTTAGTCTTTGAAAAGGAGTTTGAGAACATCAGGTGCAAGACCTTTTAAATCATCAGTAACTACTTTTTTCAGGCAACTGTGGTTTGCACAATAATTTCTGGAATATGACTCTGTGAATGTGGTTCCTGAAGATGCTGGTGAAGTTTGGCTTGGGAATAGTGAGATAGCACTGCAAAATCAGTTTAAGGAATGGTTTGTAGATCGTTTATACAAGCCTGTGAGGATTTTATCTAGTTGCAATCAAGGTGCAGAACCTAAAAAAGATGGTGAACTTCTTTTAACTATCTTGCCTACTTCTAGTTTGCTACACTGTACTGTGTAGCCTTCTGATATATACATATATATGTGTGTACATCTTATTCTGAGTGACCTTATTAAAGACTATGTGCATTACCACTGGCAACACCCACATCTCGGTGAGGCAGGAGTCATGCATAGTTCAGACAGATGTAAGATAATGGTGTGCTGGGGAAGCAGGTGGCACATATGATTAAAGCAGCAGATTTGATCTATCACTGCCTAAATTTGCAGTTTCGAGGGTGCTGTTAAATACTTGGTGGCTGCTAGGTAAGCATGACAGAAGTGACTGGACTACTTTTCCTCAATCTTTGCTTCGCTACAGAATGTGACCTTTTCCTTCTGACGCAAATGTACTATTTGTCATGCTTGTCATCTCAATTGAGGCTGTCGTGGTGCATTGTGTATGGGGTTAAACCTTAGTGTTTGAAAGCTGAAACTAGTGCGATATTGCAAACTGATTTATCGGGTACTGCGTCTTGTCTTGATTACTCAGCACCTAAACTCATTCACCTGTCTTGGCTGTCTCTCAGTTTCTAGATGGAGATTAGCATGTTGGGTTTTAATTATAAAACACTATGTGGCTTGGGCCAAGCCTGAGAAAATGATTGCTCTTTCCCGTGAAATGACCCCGGAGTCCCTTTTGGTGAAAATGATGGCATCTTGTAAACTGGGGGGGCACACTTAAGAGATTATGAATGTATTGATCTTTCTAGAGTGGTCTCTTTGGTTGGACCTGTGAGAATTATGCTGGGTTGGATTGTATTTCAAGTCATTCTAAATATTTCAGATCCCTTTTTGCTGATGGTAGAGTTTGGGCTTTTTAGTGAGCTTTGCCATCCTGCTGGATTGGTTGCTGAAATGTCTTAGTAAAATACTCCTGATGTCCCTTTCAGGATTTTGTATTGTTATCAATTACTAAATACCTGTCTAGATCATCTTTGTGTCTAAAAATGCTTTAGGATATGTTGCTGGTTTTTATTATTTGCTTGAGCTATAATATTTTTACCTGGGTATTTGGACCCAGTTAATGTTATGCCCACAGATGCTAAATGTACATATTTAACTTTTTTAACTAGTACATGGAAAGCACGACAAGCTTCACCCTAATTGTGGTAATTTATGTTACCTTGCTGTTCTTTTGGCAAAGTCTTAAGAATGTGAGACAGCTCATTTTCTGAATTTTTCATGAATCGGGCTTGTTATGTTCGACTTCATCATGCAATTGTTTTGTTACAAGCCTTTTTTGTTTCTTTTCTTCTCTAGATGTGAACTTTCTGACTCCAATCTCACTACCCAAAAGCCTCCTGGAATTGCTGCACTGTCCCTTGGGACACTGCCACCGCTGCAGCAAACTCCAATGGCAGGATTGCATCAAGGGTAATTATACAGGAAATTACTCTGGGGTTTCATTTAGGAAGAAAAACACCTTATGGAACAAAGCATATTCTTAAGATTTATTTTTTTTTTTAACTTTGCAGCCTTTCAGATCTAAAGCCTCTGTCCTATGATTGCATGTAAACGTTGACACATCTTTTATTTACCAGAAATCAGAATACTGCTGTTAGACTATTTAACAAGGGATACCACACCTGCCTGTTTGAGACTGCCATAAGATAGTGAAGGGTTTTGATGTGATGGGATTGACTTGTTCCTGGTAGTGCAGCACAAGCATGGCTCTTTGGTGCCTTGAGAAAGAAATACTACCTAACACCAATACTTCCCCTGATGGTCTCAACCCTGAATTCAGGAGAACGCCACCACCAAATAAAAGTGCTGTAAGATTAAAGATGGAAAAAAGCACTGAAGCCAGAGCTTAATTAAAATATTCTGTGTTAAAATGCTCTTGTTTTTCTTTCCATGTTAATTTGCTTGAGATGCTGTGGAAGCATTCTGCATTGTAACATATGTTTTGTAGCAATACATCTTTTAAAAAATATTTCAGTTTTTATGGTTGTAGCAGTTGTGAATGTGTCTGCAGAATTCACAAGTTGAGTAGACAAGCCTATACAAACTTCCTGACCTGCTGGACAGTACAGTCATAGAAGGGACTCAAAACTGGGATATGGTTCAGGGAATATTGCGCTCATGTAGATAAAGACTTAAAATATTTTTAAGGTGAGCAGTGATTGCTTTGCAGTGATTCTTTCCATAACCCCTATAAGTCTGAGTTGATATTATGGCTCATGGTAGGGTATGCTATCAACGAATCCACTTTCTGCAATGAAAAAGCATCATCAGAGAAATTTCAGCTGGTTCTACTTGGACAAAAGTACAGTACTGTTTGAAACCTAATAAAGAAGGTCACTTAAAATGTGATATACTAAAGAAAAGTTTGACTGGGAGTCAAGCAAATGTAATGTTCAGGTTCTTTTTGGAGAACTCAAGTCAAACCATTAGTTAGAAAGCATATGCCTAAAGGTGGGGAGCAGAAAAGAAAGGTGTTTTAAAAAGGAATGTTTCTGAAATTACTTGTTGGTATATATAGTGCACAAGAAT